GAAACCAAATTTGATTGCCACAGCTCTTATAGTCTCTGAGATCTAGGCGCTCAACAAGGCGGATAGACAGACAGACAGACGGACAGACGGACATGGCTATATCGACTCGGCTATTGATGCTGATCAAGAATATATATACTTTATGGGGTCGGAAACGTTTCCTTCTCTGCGTTACACACATCCACTTTTACCACAAATCTAATATACCCCTTAACTCTTTTTTGAGTACGGGTATAAAAACTTTTCACAGACAGCTTTTTGATCTGCTCATCTACAGATACTTTTTCTGCGAGCGCTTGATCAAATGTGCCTTTTTAAGCTGTTAGTGTGAGACACGAGCGTGTCTCGGCTCAACCCGAAGATACGAAACAGATAGCACAAGCGAAGACACCAAAAGTGTTCTGCTCAGAACAGAGACCAGACCGCAATGGAAACGAGAAGGAACGTGTGAGTCGCTTCTGGAGACGCAACTCTACTTATACCCGTACTCAGTCAGTATATACATTTTTGAGCTTATGATTTTTTAGAATTTAAAAATTAAAAAAAAAATTTTACATATTACATTTTTTTGCTACATCTGTTATCTACATCTACATCTACAATGTATATTCCACATCTAACATGTAGATTGTACATGTACCATTTATATTTATATATTCTACATCTCCTCCGCTAGGGGTTGCTCGCGCACTGAACGCGGCAGAGTGTGCGAGCGAGAAAGAGAATCAGTAGCGTCAGCAGCGCTGGAGAAGGAGAGGGAACCAACAGAAAATTAATTCCTTAGGTTAGGTTAGCCCAGACGGCCCTCACGGGGCCACGCATAGGCCAATTGGGCCTTAGTTGTCCGGATGGGGGTGTATGAACCTTTCGAGTATATTTATGAAGTTTTGAAGTCCTTGAGGATTGAAGTGTTTTTGGCAAAGGCTAGCAGTTCCCCTGGCGTCCTCTTGGAGGCATCTTCCAGTGATGCCAGTGTACCGGGGCGCACAGGTATATGAGGCATCTTCCAGTGATGCCAGTGTACCGGGCGCCCAGGTATATTCTCCTAGCCCTTGAGAGAGCCGGGCAGTTGCAGATGAGATGTTCCAGGGTTTCAGTTGCCCCGGATTCCTCGCATTTCCTGCAGTTTCCACTGTTGGTGATGCCTAGTTTGACAGCATGTGCCGCGGCCAGACAGTGACCTGTGAGTATTCCCACCAACATTCTGCAGTCCTTCCGTGGGAGGTGCAGTATGTAGTGGCTGAGTTTCCTATTGCGCTCCTTGCACATGGTTTTTGAGGTTCTGCAGGTGGTGGTTCTGCTCCACCTGCTTATTAATTTCTTCATTCTGGCTATAATTATGATCCGATCTAGTTCAGATTCGGCAATCTGGTAGATATGGGCATTCTCTACGATACTGCGTTTTAGTTTTATCGTATCTTTAAAAATGTGCCTGCCACAGATTTTCGTCCTTTTTGGGGGCGGAAGGTGGTGGGGCGAAATTTTAAAATACACTTGTAGCAGTGTGATATCACATGAGTCTGGAAACCAAATTTGGTTTCTCTAGCTCTTATAGTCTCTCAGATCGAGGCGCTCATCAAGACGGACAGACGGACATGGCTATATCGACTCGGCTATTGATGCTGATCAAGAATATATATACTTTATGGGGTCGGAAACGTTTCCTTCTCTGCGTTGAACACATCCACTTTTACCACAAATCTAATATATCCCTTAACTCTTTTTTGAGTACGGGTATAAAAAGTGTTGACAGTTATTTGTGAGCTATGGTTCTTACTGAGGAAAATCGGCATGCAAAGCTTGCACAGTCACTAAACATGTAACATACACACAAATTGTGTGGGATATTGTTTACACAAAAACATCTTGCATGGCCTCCAGCTCTTTTTTTGTTTGCTCTGATAATTTTTTTGTGGTCTTGAACAATCTGACCAATTCATTATTCTCATGCAGAAGATTTTTCAATTCGTGTATAATTTCACGATTACCATTGGAGGCAGTTGATAGAACGATGAAGGATTAACGAGGTAAGTTAAAAAGTTAATGGTGGGGCTATGGAATTAAGAAATTTACTGCTGCCGATGCATGCCTGAAATCTTCGTCTTTGTGGCAGTTGGAGTTGACCACAAGCATGAGAGTATCGCTGCAGACGTTATAAATAAATAAATAAATAAGATTCTCCACAATTAAAAATTGGTTAAAAAATCTCAAATTTGGGAGAAAAATTTGTGTTTGAACGCCTGTTTCATTTCATTTTGTGTCATTCTGTAGAACGGAACATTTTATGATAGACTTTGCTTTTATACCATTTTGTGAATTGTTTTCTGAAAATATTGCAATTTGTATAAGTAACCGTATTCAGCTAAAAAAAAAATCCAAAACAATACTGTCCCTAAGGCGTGCCTACATTGCTTTTGAATTTGCTCAACAGATTCAAATTTCACGTCCCGTGTTTTAACATTGTTTTAACATTATTTCGATGAATTCCTAAACATAAAATTCATTTAGTAAGTAGCGAAGCGCGCCGGTCTGCTAGTTTTATATCATTTTTCTCGAATTGATTAAGTTGCTTCTGGAGTGGTCGCCACTCCTCTGTCACCTTCCTTGGATTTTGGACTACGTGACTTGTCCATCCTTTTTCTGATTATCCTCGTTATGTCCAACTCTGCCTCTTACGCAGAATTAGCTGGGAAGACAAAGCAAGGCCTTACCTTAATTAGCACCCAAGTAATGTGCCACTTCCCCTAGCTTGCTGCATTCACTGCTATTATCATATTTACAACTAAAGCTGCACCAACAGGGCACATTGTCGCCTTCTCAAAATTTCAGGCAGAAATATATGACTACCCATAAGGGCCACCAATCAAGCGACGCAATACTGGATAAGGTGCGCCTTAGGAAGACTGTGACGGCACTTCGGCCGGGGTACGCTCGCCGCGCCGGGGTTCACAGAGATACGCTCCGAGAGAGAGATGTGCTGCGGAGGATAATGCACTCCGAGAGAGAGATGCGGTGCGGAGGAAAATGAGCTCCGAGCGAGAGATGCGGTGCGGAGCAAAATGCGCTCCGAGAGAGAAATCCGTGGCAGAAGAAAATGCGCTCCGAGAGAGAGATACGTTGCGGAGGATAATGCGCTCCAAGTAGGAAGGGAATACGGAGGAAAATGCGCTCCGAGTAGGTCGGGAGGATTTATGTCATTGCTGGTGTGTATTGGAGAGGAATCGTACGCTCTACCACGGCAGTAATGCCAAAAAATAGGCGGCATTTCCTAAAGCCGGGTCCGTCCACGGTGCGATGCCAGCCACATCGAGGCCGATAGTGTAGATAGGTGTGCGGTCTTCTCCTAGCGTTAAAAAGGGTTATAGACGAGTGTGCAGTTCGTCAATTGCTTCCGTTAGTTTCGTCGTAAAGTGTCTTGTTTGGTTTTTGCTTTTGACGGTCCGCCACGAGAGATAAATGTGCGGAGGAAGATACGCTCCGAGAGAGAGATGTGTTGCGGAGGATAATGCGCTCCGAGAAGGAAGGGAATACGGAGGAAAATGCGCTCCGAGTAGGACGGGAGGATTAATTGGAGAGGAATCGTAGGCTCTACCACAACAGTAATGCCAAAAAATAGGGTGATCAGGAACATGATGCAATTATATAAGTTGGTCTCGTCGGCTGCCGAATCGTTCGGTTTTTAGCCCCTTAACGTTCAGTGCGTGTTCGCTTGTTGAAGAGAAAGGTTGTGTGCGAAAAATTTTTTCGGAAGCCTTAACCTTTGTGCACAACAAAAATAACGTATTGTAGTTTTTGCCGCAAGCACGTGCAAGGTGTGAAATTTATTGTAGAATTAAGAGCCTTAACAAAAGAATATCTATCAAAAAACAAAAATAAACGTTTAATTTCAAATTGAAAATGATTAAAAATTAAATTATAAAAAAACATCAACTCTTTTTATTATAGCAGGCAACTTTAAACCCCATGGTCCATCTGAGGGTTAATCAACACGCTCTATTGCTTTTTCACTCACACTTACTGCGCTGAGCCCTTTCACTCGCACTTATTGTAAGCATTGATAAGGGACTACTTTTGCCGACGAGACCACCTTATATAATTGCATCATGGAAGGCTGATCTTGACCCGAGGCGAGTTCAGATGGACTGCCCTAATTGCTCGGGCGCCGCTGCTTTTATTGCCAAAAATCAGCTGTTGTGCCATTTCTTTGTCCCTAACGCGTTTTGCTGATCAGCTGACTGTGTGCCCGTTTGTAGTTGTGTTAGGGTCACACTGGGTTGGAGCGCCAATTTGAATGCTGGCCGGTGTATATTTGTGGCGCTGGGCGTCAAAAGACTATTCTGCAAAAACAGCAATAAAGTCAGATCAGAAAATCTGTCGCCAGAAAAATCCACACTCACACAGTCACACAAATACAAATATTGGGAAAATTCGCTTTTATTTTAAAATGGTTTTAGATTATTTAGGATTATTTTGTAATATAGAAGCAAAATGTACAGTTTGTGAGAAATATTTTTTTAAATCATTAAATATAAATCTAATACAAACATTTTTAATATAAACGTATGCCACGGTATATTTTTAATGGAAGATGTTTGTCAATAAATTACATTTTACAATCTACCTTACTAGCTTTAAAGGATCACAGATCATTCTTCTCATGAATAAAGTAGGTCGAAGGGTCTACAACAAAGGCCGGCGCGTCGTATGCACTGTGCATAGGAAAAAAATTCGGGCAGCGCAGTCGGCACACGTAGAGCGTAAAGACTTTGTGTGGTTTCGTTATTCTGCCCTGCTGAATTAGCGGCAGAGAAACTTCTGCCCTGCTGACGTAGCGGCAGAGAAACATGCTACGGGCTATGCACAGAGAAGCATTCGTGTGCCCTATGCACAATTCCTCGGCTTTCGCAGCTACAGAGAAATAAGTAAGGTATTTGACTTCGTGTCTGTTGTCTTCGCACACAAATGCACCAAAAAAAATGTGTGAGTCTGTGTGCCGACCCCTGGTCTACAAAAATAAATGTAAGGACTTAAACTTCATTACGATAAATATAACGGCATAATTGTATACCTTTGATTAATATATGCTAAAGCTTTAATCGAACTAAAAACGTTCTTCCTGATTAGCAATTAACTTAATCTATATACCAAGCTTCTCTAAAAAAAAATTTTTTAAAGGTTGATAATATTGGAAGCGTAGGCAAATCATTTCAGGAGAATTGCGTATTTGCTCAAATAGATCTGACTCGGACTCCATTATAAATACAGCTGTGCCAGCCATCGCGAAAGCTACGAAAATAACCGATGGAATGAAGGCATGCAGTAAATGAAATTTACGAAATGTTTTCACACCATGAATTGCATTTTTATGGATGTCTGAAAAATTATCAACATTTTTAGTGGCTGTCATACCAGCTGATGAATTCGAGTTAGGATTAGGTAGTGAATAGCACAGTTTGGGCGCGTAGCAAGTGTATTGTTTTATATTTTCTTTATGTTTTCTGGCCTGATCATATCCACTACCGCTTTCAGTGGAAGAATGTTCGGTCAATTCTCTGTAAGGAAATCCAGTGAACGGTTTTGAAAAATAGTTTACACTCTCAATGTTGGACGAACGTAAACGAGCCTCCTCGCAAACGGGCTCTAAAATAGGCATTTGTATACATCCATTACTATCGATTAAGCAAGTGCTCTGATCCTGCGTATGAGCACCAAAAACATGATTGCGATTAATTGGTACAATTGAGGAGCCCAACGGTTCAGACATTGTTGAACGAGGTAAGCTACTGTAACCTGATAGAAAAATGTGACTTTTAGTTCCTTTTATTATAGTTCAATGTCGAATTAGTTTACGTATTTGTGATAATTCTCCCTGGGGACTAGAAGGAGTGGCTGGAACACTGCTCGCCTTTCGCTTACTCGAACTTGAACCAGTTATTTTTTGCTCACGCAATGCATTTATGTTTTCAGTAAGTATTTCCCGCTCAGTTCGGCCAGTGTATCGAAATTTTGTACCCCAAGAGAAAAAACCTCCACCAGAAACGACAGCTGCATTTTCACTATTGGGTAGTCTGAAATGATTAACCAATGAATGCATTAATCAGTCTAAAGTGTCCAAACTTACGTAAAAAACAGCATTTGTTCAATTGCACATCTCCACAAATAGCGACAAGCAGCACCCGTAGGACATTTAAATCCAACAGTGTGCTTTTTCTAAATCAAAACCAACTATAGTAGAAATAAAATAATTTACATTATTATACATACAGGTTCACGGCTTGCATCAGTATAACTTAAATGTGCTATAAACATTTTTCCTTCAAAGTTAATCTTATGCACTTCATTCCAACGGAAATGCTGTGAGCGTTTGCCTGCAATGAATGTGCTTATACCCGAATTATTAATACCAATATAAAGTTGAGATCCACGGTGGTCTTTAACAGGATGGGGTTCAATTCCATATGTTTCCAGTGTGCGAGCTATACCCAGAAAGTCATAAATAGCTAAGATACAATCCTGACCCGCCTCTCGCTTTTTGTGGAGTTCAACTATTTTCTTTTCGAGATTTTCCGTTTGACGCAGTGCCAATTCAAGTGACGAAACATAGTCGCCTATATGGATTTTCTCACTATAGTCTCCAAGTTCCTCTGTAATTTATAGATATAAAAATACAAATGTGTAAATTGGTATTTAAAAATATATACTAAATATATATAAATATACTAAAGTAAAGTAAAGTTAACGAAAAGAAGAGTATGCCACTAACCATACAGTATATAATGTGCCAGTTCATGCAACGAATGTGTCGCAGCCAACTTTTCTGTTCCAGCAGCCAGGGCCATTCGGCTTGGATGCTGGAGCGTTTTGGCAAAGGCTAGCCTAAAAGAGAATGGGAAAGAGAAGCGTCAAACGAAAATTGAACGAGAATTAGCTCCTCGTCTTTGGTATAACGGAGAACGGACATTTTCCCATGCATTATGTGAAAAGAGTACCACCGCATTAGGATTAGTGCGCGTGGTCTCTACCTGAGTCGTTATGGCTTTTGGGTTCCGCCTGAGTTCGAGTAACTACCTGATCAGCAGTTTTGGTAGCTGACCGATCTTCGTTTAAGTCGCAGATCGTTGCTGTGCAAAAGGAATGTGTAACATAAACATTAGTTGCCTATGGCGTTGCGTATATGTTCTTATATATGTATGTATTTGTATATATAACAGAATGTTACACATATACCTACATACATGCATGGGTTCACTACCCTGCAGTTCCAAAAGTCATTCATTCGGTGAATTACTCATGGCATGTCCTAAGCCACTGGTGACTCACTGGTGAAACTCCAGATGAAATTTGTATCCGCATGTCCGCTTTTGTCGATGGTGAAACTTAGACATACGTATAAGCCCACGATGAAATCACTAGAAAATTCAGTGAACATTTCATATGAAGTTTCACCATTGACAAAAGCGGACATGCAGAGTGAAATCACTCGAGACATGCCACTAGGGAAACCACTCGGGACACTTCCGGAAATGTCCGATATGAAATCACCTGTGAAACCTCCCATGAAATTAAAATAAATTTCTCGGATAATTTCATAGGAAAAAGCCATCCAAAAATTTTTTTCAAATAAAAGTAAATATATTTATTTTCGCACATTTTCTAGGTTTTTTGTTGATTTACATATTTTAAATTATCTGTAGTGCCTTCCTTAACCGACTCGATCGGGTTAATAAGAGCCAAAGCTCCTGAAATAAAATAGTCCAGCGAGGCATTTAAACATTTTTTTTGAAATCCCGATTGGGTTCTACTCCTGGACTACTGTTTCGTCCAGCACACTTTTGAGGCACCTAGACAATGGGTCCTTCTCCAACAACTTCCGAACTTTTTTTATCTGCAAATAAATAAGTCGAATTGCACATAAATTGTGGAAATGGGTTTTCTCAAGCAAAAAGAAACACGCGCAGCGACACACTCGGTTAACCACGCGGCTAGAATTTTTTAGAATCTAAACATAATTTTCTAGCGAAACCCATGTAACCATTTAATTTAACTACTAACGCACACTGTAATCACTGAATCCTCTTACCTGACTTTAGAAACACTGAAAAACTAATTTTAAAAGGAATAAACATCTAAATAGACGCACAACAAAAGATTGCCCCAATTAATCGCTTTTTCTCCCATCATCCCTTTGAAGAGTTAGGGTCGAATGCAGGTAGAGAAATTTAAAAATATGAGAGATAGGTAAATCTATGGATATCTGCTTCTCTTTCTTACGTGTCCGCTTCGATCTGCAGCAGTTGAAGCTGGACAGAATTTCATGCTGACGTCGACGTCGCTGCCTTTGTCGACGTCGAGCCCGAACAATTTTGCCGTGGCAGCCAGAACTGCAGGGTAATGTTCCAGGTTACGTAAATGTGTGTGTGCCACGTGTCCTCACGTACTGTGCGTGTATGGGCTATAAGTCTGGTCGCATTTTTTGTCGATTTTTTCTTCTGTGCTAACATACCCTTTAACTACGAACTTTTTGATTATTATGAAACTATAGGTCTGGTCGCATTTTTGTTGATTTCACTACTTGACAAAATTTCCGGACTAAAAAATTTTTGTAGTACTTTCTTATTTTTTTTATGGTGTCATTTTTTTAAAAAGAATTTTTAAAATCTGGTATTTCTTTTCATTGTTTTTTTCAGAGGTAGTGCTTCTATTTTTCACATGACTTAAGTATCTTATATCTGGTTGCATAGACCTTTGCAGTTCTGAAAAGCTAACAAATGCAGCTATAAATCCGACCCAGTCATTTTGTATCTGCAGCTTAACGCCTGAAAGATATTGAGCTTTCACATTCAAATTTCATTATTTTTTGCGGTATTTTTTGCTTTTAAAAATTCGGGAAAAGTCGAAAAAAAAAATTATTGGCCAACATTTTTGGTGTTAGATAGACGCATTAATTAGGCGTCGTTAAAGGTATTGTTCATTTAAATCTATGGATAAACGGTGGAGCTACAATTCGTTAACCAAACCTCAAAAGTGAAAAAATAGACAAAAAATACTTTTTGGAAGGTTGCGGGCCCAAGTGCCAATTGTAAACAAAGCAAACGAAAAGGGGTTGAATTTTTGGTAAAAGGTTCTATGCAACCAGATATAAGATACTTAAATTATTGAAAAATAGAAGCAAAAAACTACACCATAAAAAAAACCATAATTTTTAAACCCCGAAATCTATAAGAATCTATATTTTGGACCACAGCCTAATTCTATTGTTGACTAGTGTTTTTATACCCGTACTCAAAAAAGAGTTAAGGGGTATATTAGATTTGTGGTAAAAGTGGATGTGTATAACGCAGAGAAGGAAACGTTTCCGACCCCATAAAGTATATATATTCTTGGTCAGCATCAATAGCCATGTCCGTCTGTCCGTGCGTCCATCTGTCCGTATCGGTGAGCGCCTGGATCTCAGAGACTGTTCGGTCAAACTCTTAATGTCATAAAATGTTCAATTGTATGTTTGATATTAAATGAATAATCACTTAAATGACCCTCGCGCTGTAGAACCTTACGCTCATTGTTACTCTCTTTGTTACGCTTGCAAGGTTCCTATTTCAAGGAAAAAATTTGTAGATTGTATGGGAACTTCAGGTTTCGGGCTGGCCTTTGAAATGCAGTAGGCAAGGGGAGAAAAAATGACGACGCGGTAGTTTTGTGGTTGTTTGTTTATTCTTTACTGTCTTTATTCGCTTAATTGTTTACGTTCTGAGACTTGCTGGTCAGTGATTGATTATGTGGTGCGCTGGTGGACGGCGTAGTGTGGTGTTTTGCGTTTGTGACTGCCTAGTGCAGTGTCTTGGGTGTGGGCTGATGGTCTGCCTAGTACAGCCTCTTGGGTTCGGGCTGATGGACTGCCTGCTCTTTCGGCCGATCTTGGCCCTTTTATGCAGCCGGCGATCGCACCTGAGACCCGGAAATAATTGCTTATTGCTAACTTGTGCTTATTTTGTGACAATAATTGTGGGTCAGTGTAGTTTTGAATAGACTGCATCTCGGAAGGTGCGGGCTGCTGTTGGGAATTGGGTTTTTGCTACCTCCGCAGCGCGGAAGGTGATATCTGAATTTGGGTCGATGTTTCGAGGCCGAGTGGTTGCGAAATATCGCCAAGAGGTGGGTTACCGAGAATTTCGTGCTGGTTTTTTCGCTGATTGCGAAATAATGCAGAATGGGTAGGGTTGAAGGGTAGTAATTGCGTGCGTTGCTTAAGACTATTTAATTTTCCGGAGTGCTGACGCACCGCTATTTGTGGAGAACCGTGGTTCGTTGGCTCTGTGTATATTGTTGCCGACCAGCGTGGATGCGCTGACATTCCGCCGTTTGTGAGGAGCCATGGCTAGAACCATGGTTCGTTACACGCTCTTGCATTAAATTTGTAATTGAATTCACCACATTAGAAGCCCACTTATGCTCAGTGCTCATGCACTTAGAAACCGAATAAATAGTTATTGGCTAGTACTCAACTGAACCCCCTCGACTTTCGGATTATTCTTGGATTACAGCAAATTTCTTTGCATCGAGTATAATTACCTCACGGGAGATTGACACACACCCATCCTTGAACAACTATATTGTGGAAAACGCTCCTCGATCAAAAATTTTGGCGCCCAACGTGGGGCACGTGTGTTAATTCTGTGAACAATTAAATTACTCGCATTTATGTATATTCCATCAAAAAATTTCGTCGGTACATAATTTGCAAGTGCAACAACTACACTTTCGTTTCGTCTCGCAGTTGCCATCGAAATTGCTGAAAATCATATCAGAAGCTAACTGATCGATCGAGGTTTCATTAACCTCTCGCTGTGCTCTCGCCATTCTCGCTTAATTCTATCATTCGCTTATCACCCACATCGCATTTAACGGCGCTTGCGCTCTCGTTTCGTTTGCATTGCTGCTACCTGCTGTGGTCCATCGGTCAACGCAGTTATCTATCTCTTCGAATTTCTCTACTTCACTTTCGCTTTCGTTGCCGTCGTTGGAATTTTTGCTCACTCTCTGGACTGGAATTGCGCTCAACCCTTTTTTTTTGTCGCCGTCGCTCGCTTCTAAATTTGTTCTCTTGCTGCTGCTGATCTGGTGCCTGCTTGCTGCTGTTGCGTGCATTGCATTTGGAATCTCTAGTTCTGTGTGCGTGTAATTTACACTACACAACCAAATGACGACGCTCGAAGATTTGAAACGTTAACGGAGCAATATAAAGCGCAATATTTTCCGTATCAAATAGGAGGATGCGGTCATCGTTGCCGAGGTTGTCGCTGACTACGTTTGACGGCACTTATGCGAATTATAAGAATTTCATAAATTCGTTCGATCAACTTATTGTGCGTGAGTCTGGACTATCTAACATAGAAAGGTTTAATAATTTGCTGACCTGCCTAAAGGGGCCGGCGTTAGACACAGTTCAGGGATTCCAGGTTACCAGCGAAAACTATCCGAAGGCTCTAGAAAAACTCAAAGAACGTTATGATAATTCTACTCTTATTTTTCTAGAAGGAATCGAGTCATTGTTTGCACTACAGCCTCTGGAAAGGTCTAACAGTCAGCAGCTTCGCAGTTTAGTGGATAAAGCCTCCGCTATCTTCAGCTCTTTGGAATCCATCGG